AACTTTTTTTAAAAACCGGGTTCATATTATTTAAAAAAATCTCGATATACCGAATTTCATATAAACTCGATATAACGTATACCGAACTTTTATGATTTACCGTTTATAATAAAGCATATAAAAAAAATTCTTTATATACCGAACTTGATCACGTGGTTGAAATTTCACATAATTTATACTGTTAAATCTTAATTTCTGGCCAAAATTAATATTCTTTAATCACGTGATAACTTTATATACCGGTAAAACTTATGGAGTTCGGTACACAAAAAAAATTTACATACTGAACTTCTACTATATAACGAACTTTTGCCCTTGAACCGCGAGTTCGTTATATCGAGGTTTGACTGTATAAAGTATAAGTATAAACATCAAAAAAAAAATTTTGTGTTTTTAATATTTGATACACACCCTTTTTCAAGAACTCCTCTAAGAAATAAGTTTATAAAACAACTGAAAACTGCACAAATAATATGTGGAGTGTTTTATATACACCTTCATCTTCATTTTATCCTATCACTCTATAATAAAAAAAATGATTTTTTTAATATTGATTCAAGTATAAAAATAATAAAATAATAAATATTTACTATTAGCTTTGCTGAAAATATCAGCAGAAATTTTGGTTACAGACATCACTTCATCCCTTTCTTAGGCGTACGTGATGTCTTTGTTTGTTAGGCTTCTTCAGATAGCATCTGCTAATAGCTTGAAGTCTCTCTGTTGTAAAGTAAATAATATAAATATTATTAGATATCTAATACAAAAAATGTTAAAACTATCATTAGCAGAATATTTTTTCTTTTGTCATCTTACTACAAATATATATTGAGAGTGATAGTACTTAGTTGCATAGTTATTAGAAGGATTAATATGAGGGATAATACTGGATATTAGCGTGAGAAAGAAATGTTATGCTGCCCTGAAAAACTTAGTTTCAAAAAAAAAAAATGAAACACGTAGAGAATTTGTTATAAAGTTTAGAAAATGAGAAAAATGTAAAAAAAAATGAATCATTTTTCATAGAAAAGAGTGAAATATTGTTGTACTTGTAGAAAATTCGTTATAAAGTTTAGAAAATTTATTATATTGTAAAAAAAAAAATATTTTATTATAAAGTGTAAAAAAAAGTAAAATGTATTGTAAGAAAAAAAAAATCTTACTTACAGGATAAAGGAAAGGTAAAGTATTTATACTTTTTTTTTGAAATATGAGTAGTTTTTCCAACGAAATTAATTAGTTATGACTCATTAACTTACGAGTCATAACTAATATTATAACCAAATATTTCTCATAGTGTCTTGTGTAATATAATTTTACCTTTCTATAATATCAAAATCATATTATCTTAAATATCATAAAATTTTAAAATATTTTTTTTAAAGTTTATTCATTTATATTTAATTCTTGAAGAGGTGTATATTAGTAAAATTCAGATCTAATATTGATTAGAAAAAAAAGTATGTGACAAGTTATATAAGTTATATAAAATTGTGACATAATCAAATATGATTATTAAAAAAATTTCCAGCACATCTTACTTTACGTGCACATAATTTGACGCCTTATATCGTGTAATGCAATATAGCCGCTATTAATTGTAATATTATATTGTTTTACTATTATAGCAAACTTATAATAGTAAATATTAAAGCCTTTAAATTAAAAAAGACCATTAATATACCGCAAATTTTTTATATATTGTATTACATTTTGTTTAATCTTATTATCAAGCCCACAAAATTTTTTGTCCAAATGAAATGCATCGTTATTTTATTATACGTAAGAGAAATCTGATTAACGTTCAATACAAAAAATTACATAACAAATTGAATATTTTATTAATTTTTATTTAATTGAGTGGTTATTAAGACGCTGATATTTGAGAACGTTAAAGTTGATAAATATAATGACATCTCGTTATAATAACATATTATTGTATAATGACATACCATTTTTTGAATTCCTTTATATCATTATATAAAACATAATAAATCACATTATAACGACAATTAGAAAAAATTTACTAATGACCCGAAGTGTGTTCGTTAAAATAGGCGTACCTGTAATATGATATTTTTAAAAATTATATTTTTATTAATATTTATCAACCATACTTCGCAAAATCTATTGTTTAGTCGATTAGAAATATGTGGAATTTTAATAACAATTGCATATAAAGATATAAAGATAAAAATTTTTTTTTTGTAGCGGTTAATATTTTAATAAATCGCGCAATGAATATAAAAATTAAATTATTTTTAGAGTTTTTTTTTTCAGAATATCATTACTTTAACATTCAAGTAACTGATATTAATTAATAAATCACTTTATTTTCCTGAAATATCTTTTTAGCGAAATGGCTTTGGCAAAATTGATTTCGGTGAAATAGACTTTGGTGTCTGGATACCTTTTATTTTTATTTATGAAAATATTATTAAGTGTCAGAATAATGAATGTTGAGAATTTTGAATTTTCGGGATCATGATTTATGAGTCAGATTGGATTTGATCGTCTAAGTCCTTCCTTTCTGTGTCCTTTTTTTGGAATTCTGTTCAAAGAAAATTTTCTTTTCCTTTTATACTCCTATTCTATGAATATATGAATAAATATATCTAAATTTTTTTATGACCGTAAACACGAATTGTGTGATTATGTGAATTATAATCAACCCATTTTTTGCCCTCTTATTATAATTTCAACAATCTTATTAAGTAAATATCCATAATCTTATTTTTCTTAAAAATTTAATGCTCTAAAAAAAAAGATTATATGATCACTATAAATTGACCACCAAGTCATCAAGTTATCCCATAATTTTTATCATGAAGACTACATTTTTTAGACGATATTTTCAAGTATTTATTCATTTTCACGTATGATTTTATTTTTTTTTAGTAACTGGTTTGTTCTCATTTTCATTTTCTAAAGAAAATTAAAAATCATTTATTTTAAAAAATAATTACCGGACTTTTGCACTCACATTATTCCTAGAAAAAAATCAAATACATTTTTTTAATGATTCTTTACTGATAACACATGCGTCATCTCAGGATACCAAATTATTGTTAAATTATAATGAGGGTGCTGCATAACTTTCTCTTACATGGCAAGACCAGCGTGTACCAACACTTCTATTAACGTGGAATTAAGAAGATGCTCAAAAATAATTAACAAAACAGCTGTGTTTATTTTGTTACAAATACTTTAATTATGTAGAATGTTATTATGTTCATCAGTTCATGTTTTAAACATTATAACAAATTTTAAAATAGTATAAATATTATGAAATTTAAAGTATATAGGATTTTTTTTTCACAATTTAAAACCAAATTGTATTTTAATTTTCAAATTGTATTCAGTCAACATTAATTTTACCAAATGTATTTATTATGAAATGCATTTGAAAAAGTTTACATTACTTCTAGTTTTTTAACTAATTAATCTGGTATTTTACCAACTATAAAAAACTTCAAACATTTTTTAACAAAACAATTCAAACCTGTTTCTGGAAAAAGTCGTAATTTTTGTCATTATGGATCACGTGTGTGAGAGATCTATGTTCAAAAGTTTAAATGAAATGAACTTAAAAAGAGGTATGTTTACTTAGGAGATATGTTTACTTGATTTTTCATTTAGTATTTTTTTCATCTTATACCTTTCTGCGGATATTTGAATCGCAATTCTTGAACTCTTATTTACGACAACATATCAACACAACTTTATATAATGAAACCTTTAACATAGAAACCTTTAATACAAATTACGCTTTATTTGCAAATTGGGTAGGCAGAAGAGTGTGTCGGAGTAAGCTATTTATACCTTTTTTTTTTAAAAAAGATGAAAGAATTTTATGGAAAGTTAATTGAATATTGTTTATAATGATGCTGACTTAACTGATTGGTTTCAACAGAATTATAATTAACAACGTTGTTGAAATAGTTTTAACTTGTTAAATCACTAGATCTGAGTAATATATTTTTATTAATAATAATTATAAAATAATGTAGCTGTAAAAAAATTTGGTGGCAAATCTAAATATAAACCCAATACCTTTTTTTAAGTGTCTCTGGACTCTCTGTCTTCTCTTCTCTTCTCTTTTCTTTAGATTTTCTTTTATTTTTTGATTCGGTCAAGTCACGTGATCTTGTCGATCATTTTCTTTTTTTGAGTTGAAAGTTACACAAATTTCCAAAAGTGGCATTTCCATGTTTAGAAAAATAATTTTTGTAGGTGGGTATCACCCAAAAAGGAAATGATCGGCATATCCGTGTGTAACCGGCTCAGGTGACTGGATAATCAGCTGACCAGATCGCACTTTACTGGATCTTCTTTTTATTAGATCTTTTCGTTGGCTCCCTTTTTTTATATTTTCTTTTAGGTATGTACTATGTAGGTTGGGAGTGTGGGTTGTGTATAGGTGGGTGATGTCCTCGTTCTTCTCTTGTTTTTCTTCTTTCCTTTTCCCTTTCCCTTTCTCTTATTCCCTCGCTCTTTCCCCTTCCTTTTCCCCTTGCTGCTAGTGACCAGATGACAACAAATTTTTTAAAGACTTGGCTAAATATTAATGTTTTGTTCAATATATTTATATTAAACTATAAATTAAAAATAAAATTTTTATTTATTTTCTCATCTATGATTATTATTTTGATTATTCAATTTTTAATTTTCACAAATGTATTAATAACATCCAAAGATTATTAGATTATTAATCATTAAGATTTCTTTAATTAAATTCAAATAGGACAAATGCGCATTGTATATAAAAGTTATTTAACTTTAATTAATTAATTAAACTTTATTATAGCTTTTAACAATTGTAATAACTAGCTAAAATTAACAGTTAACAAATTTTAAGAATTGCTTATTAATTGTTAATGTAATAGATAAAGAAATATTTCAAATAATGGTGTTTTTTATTTTATTACCAATAACATAGCAAACAAATCATCTTCCTTGCAAATATTAGGAATATCTAAGTTGCACAGGTCGAAATGCTAAAAATCGGCAAAAAAAATGGCGCGAAAAGCAGTGGCTATTCTTGGCTATTCTTGGCTATTCTTGGCTGTTTTTGGCTATTTACGAATTAACCTATACTATTTGTAAATAGTTTATACAAATTTGCGAATAGTTTATGCGATTTGCGCCATTTTTTTTGCCTATTTTTGATCATTTGACATGTGTTGCCCACAGAATCATGGCCTTATCCTCATCTTCCTCCTCTTCCACTGTCTTAATGCTCTTGACAATACTTTTAAGTATTTGTCAGAGCGTAAGTACTTTGTTTAATAGGGACGTATTCATCATTATAGTGCATCCATATTTCCTTATTTTTTTTGCAATTAGATGGAATGTGAGTAAAGAGTATTTAAATATTTCGTAATAAAATTCTTATATAGCCAAAACAATCAATTACCTTGAAATTGGATTCCTGCAATACCAGCTGTCAAATTTTCTATTCCTAATAAGATGAAAGAACCTAAGAAATCAAGACGCATTCACTTACATTGACTAATTTATTATGACCCACTTACTGGTGGCATCAGGTTGCTCTATAATAACGCAAATGTGTTTTTTAGGCAGGTTTGACTATAAGAAGCAAGAAAGAAATTATGTAAGTATTTGGTATTATTGGCAAATAATGACAAAAGATGAGAAAAATATAAATTTTGTTATAACTCACCGGTAAGAACAGGCTATTCAAGCAAATGATTACAGGAAAAAGCAGAAAAAAATCATGTAGATTTAGAATATGATGAAGGTGGTGGATATGGGAAATATTGTGGTCTTGTTCCTTCGATGCTTCTTCAACAGTTAATCCTGAAATTTTTAATTTGTTTTCATCATTTAATATACTATCAATATGTGCCATCGGTTCCTTTCTTTTTTTAACATTTTATACCANTATTGGGAGTTCTTTATTATAAGCCTCATAACATTCAAGGTAATAAGCATGTTCTCCAGAATATATACCAGAACTCCATCCACCCTTTATATTTTCGCCTTCATGGTTTTTATTACATATGGGGCAACGTATTGAACTATTAAACACAAAACTATCGCCATAACTCTCACTATACTCCAAGGATAGATAAGGAAAACGCTTTAACACCAACCCAATGATATGTTTTCGTTTCTCTTCGGAATCATCAGGATCATCAGGTAAAATAGAAATTGGAAGCCGAGCTCTGATTCTCCCCTGGGGAATAAATGATGTACTCACTTCAGCTTTGGACGAACTGCCCGGACTAGAGGAATCACCTGAAGAATTTTGGCCGGGCCCCCGGCTGAAATCTCAGTCATGTGAATTGATACTTCTTCCACATCGGTGTTATCGTTATCATTTTGCTTGGAGAAATTATCTATAATATCTTGAACTTTATCATTAGTCAACTCAGAAATAGAGTTTGCACTATATGTCGTAATATACTTAATATTATCTACGCCTACCTTTTCAAATAATTTATATATCTTCACAGCTTTCTGAGTTTTCCTTTGTAAGTTTTTACAGGAGATTTCTCGCAATCCTGTTTCTTCAGATCTCTTTTTATGGATAATGGAAAGGTGTTCCAACATTTTATCTCATCCTGAGAAATACTAGATTTATATTGATTGACCTTTAAGCGCTTTCTAATAGCAAGATTGATCAATCCTTTTTTCTTTTGTTCCAATATCATTTTGATTATTTTTAGGATTTAAAAATATGAGTATATTAACATATTTGATTTTTGTCAATTGAAAGGCAAATTGATCAATGGATGAACAATTATCATAAGCACGAACCCAATTCTACCATATGAAGAAAGTAAATTTTTATTGCAAGCCCTAATTAGTCCCCACTGTTTTTTAATTTAGAGGGTTCAAAAGGTTAAAATTAATACATATGGATAATTAGTTTAGTTTTAGGTCGCAACATAATATTGTTAATAAAAAATGATATAAAAGCTATTATTTCGCAGAACTAGAGAGTGATTTTTTTTCTAGATAACATTCTGAAATTAGAAAAGTAAATACAGAGGAAATGTGAATAAAAATAATGGTTTTTAAAATAGGCCAATGCCCTGAACCATCTACCGCAAATATGGTATAAAAGAATATATTGGCCTTCAGGTAGGACATAGACGTAAATATTATAACATTTAGGGACGACATCATAGACATTTATTTCCCCCCGTAATTTCTTTCCTTTTCCTTCCTTTACCGGATTTAATTTTTTTTCTTCCCTATTATATGTTCTAATCGTACCCTTCTTACATAACCCGATTACATCATCTAAGAGGTTTAAAGTTCTTAAATCGTTTAGCATTTTCTTGATGTTTCGCGCTTGAAAAGGAAACGTGGTCGGATCTGGCGGTTTCACCACGATGTTCACGGTCTTTGCTTCTTCCGGTTGAGGTTCCCTTGGTTTGAGTAAATGAATACCATCCTTTCCTGGCGTCTCGAAAATGCCGATCGGAACTTTTGCAAAAAGCATCTCTATGATCGTGTCTTGTTCTCCCCCCGTCAGTGTTAAGTCGGCTGGCTCCTTAAAAAATTAATAAAGTTTAGTATTATTATTTACATACGAAAATAGAACATTCACTAGGTTTACCATCTGATCTTTTGTTAGAAACTCCATTCTGATTTAAGAACATTAAAACTTCTTCGGGCTCTTCATATGGTTTTCCCTTTTCGACCCACTCTGCATACGCACTGTCTCTTATACACATCTAGATGTGTATAAGAGACAGGCCTGTTACATATCTTATTTGTAACATCCTTTTTTTATTTTTTTTTAATAATAAATTTAGTATGTAATTTACAAATAAAATTTTTATATGCAAAATTTAATTTGGAAAACTTTTACTTAATGTACTTAAGACAGTTTCATAGACAAAATTTCAAGTTATAAGCAGTTTCTTTAAATTTTTTAAAAAATTCTTTTGTCTTAGTTACACGACTGATCTTTTTGTTTTTGTTTACATTTAGCCTGATCTTAAATTTTAATTGGATAAAATTGGAGGTTGTTACAAATAAGATGTGTAACAGGCTGTTACAATTAGATTTATCCATAAAAATATTTAACAGTTAATCCTGAAATTTTTAATTTGTTTTCATCATTTAATATACCATCAATATGTGCCATTGGTTCCTTTCTTTCTTTAACATTTTATACCATCTAATCTGTCATACTAAAAATGTTATTTTAAAAACTATCAGTCTTATATTGGTAATTAGATAGTATTGTTTAAATCAAGAAACATGTCTTCACATAGTAAATTCACAAATCAGCTTTGATACTGATATTCACTGCTCCTTTCATCATTTAAGATATGTTTTGTTAATTGAAAATACATTAAACTATAAACATAAAGGATTAATAAAATTATATAAGTTAAAAAGTAGACAATTAACATCAGTAAATTTTTTGGACCATAGATCCTTAAGGATATACATACCACTCAAATTATTTTGGACTGCCGTAATTATAAGTAAAATCCCAAATTCAATTATGGCATCCCAAATTATTTTGGCACTTTACATAGTAAATTATATATAAACTGAATGAATTACAGCATCTTAAATTATAATTATGACATTCCAAAATAATTTGGGCAGCATGTATACTTAAGGATTCCTTAAATTATCTTAGAATCCTTAAGGATCTGGCAATTTATAGAATCCTTAAAAATTCTTAGATAAATTATAAAGATTCTTAAAAATTCTATGAATTGGTATTAACTAGAGCTATGACTTCAAACACTATGGCTGACCAGCCGGGAGACAAAGAGCATATGCTATGGATTGATTTTTAAAGATTTCTAAATAAAAATCTTTAAGAAATCCAAGAATTTTTATTTTATTTTTATAATATAGACAAGAACCAGAAAAAATAAAATATTGTATCACGTGTATCATGTGATAATCTTACCAGCTGATAATCTTATCAGCTGATTTTTTTTTTAATTATTCCATCATTGTCTAAATTTTTAATTAAACTTTCCTTCGTCCTTATCTCCCTTCCCTTCCTTTTTGCCTTTCTTTCCCCATTCTTTATCTTCACCCATTTTTTTTCTCTCTCTACAAAATCTATAATGAAACGTTGAGTAACATTTTGCTATTTTTTTTTAGTCAGCACTCGGCAGTCAGATTCTGGTAAGATTTTATTTTTATTTTTTTTAGATTTAACTATTTCTTCTAATAAGCAGTTTCTAAATTATTTTCTTTATTTTTTTTTAGACAGCTCTTTCGAATTTCTTTGGAGGCGATATTCTGGTAAGTTTAAGTTTTTGTTTTTTTTTATCTGTTTCTTCCGTCTTTTAATGAACAATCTCTAATATTTCGTTTCTTTTTTTTAAGCAGTTCTTTTAGATTTTCTTGCAGTAACTGGTAAAATTTTTTTTTATTTTAACAAAACATTAACTAGTGTTTCTTTTTTTTAGGTTCTTTTAGATTTTCCTGCACGCTGCATTATGGTAAGCTCGAACTTTTTAATTTTTTTTTTATTTTAACAAAACGTTAACTAACGTTCCATTTTATTTCCTTTTTTTTTAGGCATCCTTTTTTTGGGTATTTGAATGTGGATTTCGGTAAGTAAAAAAGTGATATTTCCTTTTATTAAAGAACTTTACTAAATAAACTGTTCTCTTTTTTTTTAGACGGTTGAGTTTTTGGGTATTTGAACGGGACATTTGGCAAGTAAAATAGAAAAAAAATTTTTATTTTTTTATTTTAATAAACATTATTAACTGTTTGTTTTTTCTTTTTTTTTAGGCATTTTTTTTGAGCCTCCGGACGTGGGACTGGTAGGTAAGAAAATAATATTTTTTCATTCTTTTCGAGTTTTTCTTTATATAAATAAACATTACTAACTGTTCGTTTATTTTCTTTTTTTTAGGCGGATTTTGAATATTTTCTGGATGTGAAATCCTCTTTTTTTAGGCCGTTTTTCAAGTCTCTCTAGACTTAGAATATCGGTAAGTAAAAAAAGATTTTTTTTTTTATTTAATTTAACGAACATTACTAATTCATTTTCTTTCCTTTTTTAAGCAGTTTTTCTGAGTCTCTATAGATATGGAACCAATAAAGTAAGAAAAAATTTACAAGTAAAAAAGTAATCAGTTATTTTTCTTTATTTAGTTTGAAAATTTTTTTTTTATTCTAACAAATATTACTTAATGTTCGTTCTATTTTCTTTTTTAGGTGGTTTTTTGATACTCTCTGGAGTCTGGATATTATGATAAAGCAGCATCCAGATATTGAAGTATATGGATAGAATCTGTTTTCACACCATTTTTATTGATGTGAAATATGATAATATAATGAAATTGGGTGAGTAAAAAAAAGATTGTTTTCACTTTTTTTTTGTTTTAATAAACATTATTAAATATTCATTTATTTTTCTTTTTTTCACGTTTTTTTAGACTGAATGTACTTTACATTACTAAATATGAACTTTGTAGCCGCAAAATTTACAATTTAGTTTAAACTGCTTGAAACTTTGGCTAAGATTTGGAGTCTTTTTAGAAACTCCTTTTTAAAAAAAAAATATTTATTAATATTTTTTTTACTTGTTTTTTTTGTAGGTTGTCTAGGTATTGATAGAAAAGTTAATAATTTAAAAATGATAAGTTTCATTAAAAAACATCTTGTTTATTTTCTTTTTTTTTATAAAAGTTAAATAACGTTCTTTATTTTAGGTTATCTAGGGTATTGGGAGAATAAGAATTTAAAAATGATAAGTTTTGCTGCTAAATCTATCATTTAATGTTTTTCGGTAGAAAGTGTATATTAAGAAGCTATGTTTTATTTATCTTTAATTTTTATTTTGAATTTTCTTTATATTTTATTAATTTGAAAAAATATGTAATAATATATTGACAAATAAATAAAATTAATAAATACATTAATAAATCTATAAATAAATAAATTAACAATAAATCTATCGATAAATATATAAATAAATATAACAATAAATATCCTTAAGGATTCCTTAATGGATCCTTAAGGATTCTATAAAAATTTTATGATAGGGAATCCTCGCTGGTGGGGAAGGATTCTTAGGGATCTTTACTAATTACGGGATTTTTGGAATTTCTAAGGATCTGCACCCCAAAAAATTTACTGATGAATAGTAGAAACTTGAAATATGTTACCTACCCATTTCATCAACCAGTGTTGTTGAAATTTGTAATTGCCTTGATAATTAGGCACAAATAAGATTGAATCAAGATCAACAAAGTTATCCTCTGTAGCTTTCTCCAATGGTTCATCATATTCATTCAAAATAGTTTTAACTTTATGAAGTTGAGGTAGGATTTCCAAGTTAATTTCATTATCTTTCTTGTAAAATACATTTTGAAGAATTTGCTCTGCTTTCTTTATATGTTTTAAGAGAGTATCATTCCTTATAAAAATATACAAAAATATTAGCTTTCATTAATCTGATCCATCTAGCTATAGCTACTACTTACATAAATTTTGTTGGTCAAGTTGTGAACATGACGTTCTAATAGATAAGCTTGGGTATAATATTGTCGACTTTCACCTGGAAGTCTCTCTTTTGTAAAAGCAAGTTGTACTACTCCATATAGGTCAAACAGGTCAAAACTTTCTGCATAATGTTGACTGAACTCTTTTGCAATTTCATATCATACAAAAATCTCAAATTGATTACCAAGCATTGAATTTGTTTACTAATGCTAGCTTTGACTTTAGCAACATCACCTTTGACTTGAGCAAAATTTTTTTGATTTCTTCTGAAGGATCTGTTGCTTCCATCATAACTGATTTTATTGTATCTCTAAGTATCAAAATTTGAGCTAGTATCTAATTTATATTCCAAAAATGAAAGTGTATCTAAGTTAATGAAATTTCAAGAATAAGAATAATTTTGTGTTTCAAAAATCCAAAGAAAGATATTTTTTATCTGAAGGAAGCTAGAAAATCTTTTCCAAAGAAATCTTGTTACAGAATTTGTATTGGTTTCGTAACAAATACTCACTTTAAAAGTGTTTAAAATGTGAAATTAAGGAATAAGGAAAATTTTAATATCTATTAAGAACTTTAACAGTCAGTAACTTAGTGCAATTATAAAAAAAAAAATTTTTTTTAATAAAAAAAAAAGTCAAAAAACGGGGAAAATCCATTTATAAGTTTGCACTTACGTAAGCCTGTCACACAGAGTCATGGACTGACCTGCGGTAAAATTATCTGATGCGATCATTGGTATTATTATTTATAATCTGTTTTTATAGTGATTATTTTAATTCTATTATATTTATTATCAGTTATCGCATGTCATTAAGGAGCGCAACTGCAGATTATGATTTCTGGTTGTCTTCATACTCATAAAAATTAATTATGTTTTAGGGCAGCTACAGCACTTTTACTGTGACAGTTTCTGATGTGTTATTAAATACTAGTACTGGTAACAATCGTTATAGTATATTAAATCTTAACGAACATACTTTATTGGTTAATTATCGTAGGATAGAAAACAAGGAATTATCTTACCACACCACCCCTGTGATGTTTTTGTCACATCATCACGTGCTGACCTGTTTATGTTTTTTATTATGTTTCTGAGGGACTTGAATTTTTTTACTGGCCTGATCTCTATTTGTATGATCCGAAAACAAGTCTTGTAACGCAAATGTTATTTAAGTAATTAGTTATTTATTTTTATATCATATCGGCTTATTATCGGAATTGGACCAAAATTAAGGCCCCAAATTACTATTAAAATTGCATGTGACCATCGTAAATGTTACACAACAATCATATGTCAAGCGTTAGACTCTCTCACCGAAAAACCCTAAAAAAAAAAATTTAATAGTAACTATCGCGTCAAACCAATCTCCTCCCTACGAAACCAATCTCCTTCAAAGGTAAATTATGTTGAGTGTACTATTCTATTTCTATATACAAAAAAATATTTTTTAACTTTATTTAAACTACATTTAGTAATTCAAAAGTAGTTTGCTTGTAAAATTTTTGTTATTTGTAAATTTCGCATATTAATTTGAATAAAGTTTACAACAGTGTTTAATATTTTTAATTAATAAAGTGTTTTTTTTTATATTTTAGGTATGGTAATATGAATCAAGCTGTAGTTTCTACCGGTGCTCTTCCACCTTCAACAACAACTCAAATAACAACTCTAACAACTAATGATTCAAAATTTGAATGTAATATATGCGGGAAACTGTTTAAAAAAGGGGGGATTGACTAGACATTTAAATACTATTATAAAATACAACTCTTTACTTCCAGATATTGATGCTTTACCTGATAATACCGTACACCAATTTAAAGCCATCTTAGTTCACTATATTCGCAAAAGATTACCAAAAGGATATAGGCAATTAGGAAAACAAACAGTTTCTATTCCCGCTACTGAAAGTCAGTTTTATGCAGTATTTAAAAACTATATACATTACTACTCTGCTACAAAGGGTATTTACAAGTGTATATTTCGTAAAGGTTCATCAAATCAAATATTAGCAAATATTCTAGAGATGAAAGGTTGGGAGACTAAATTTTACGATCAACGGCAATGTACTTATGTTGTACTTTGTGATGATGACAATAATATTGAAGATGGTGACGAAAATCCTATTACAGCTGCATTAACTTATGAAACAATTAAAAAATTACGCAAACCAAAATGCATACGTGGTCAATTAGTAGTAGAATGGAAAAAACAAAAAAATACTGATTTTAATGGTAATTTCACTCACGCAGGTCACATTTATTTTCATTTTTACAATAGCCAGGCTATGATTGAATAAAATAGATTATTTGATCACGAAAAAAACAGTATCAAAGTATATTAAGCATTTTCATTCTAATTATTTTCAGCTTTAATATGAATTTTATTAGGTTTTTGAGAGTTTAAGGAAACATTATGGTAATTGTAAAAAAGAGATCGATTTTCATGTTCTAAGATCTCAATAATTGCTGATGACTTGGATTTTCTACCTCCATCTTTCATTGTTTTACGAAAAAAATAAGAAACTTGCTGATGATTTTTTTTTTCCACTGCACTACATGAAAATGACTTTAATCCCCATTTTTGATGAATTGTCATAAATTCAGAAACGTGATGGACTAACACATGAATGTAAGGTGTCATATCATTAGGTTTATAAAGACCTTTTTTGAATCCTTGAGTATTTGGAATACCTTCAGATGGCGTTAAGAATAAAGTAAGCCAATTCTTTGCATCATTTTGAAATTCTTCAGCATTTGTTTTTTGGTCCTTCATTTTTATGTAGAGTTCATAAAATTTATTCCATAGATTTCGTATCATATTAGCGCGTTATCTTAAAAGAATTTTTGATAAATCAAAGAATTGTAATACTTTGATCTTATCATTTCCCATTAATGATGTGTAGCTCCAAGTTTTAGATTCTTGAATTTGCCAGAATTGAAACTTAACTTTAATTCTTTTCATTTCCTCTACAATTATCTTTCGTGCAGTATCATTAAACAAACCATATTCTGTTAATTCTGCTATCACAAGACTCCATAAACGATCAGTAATTCTAAGCATAATGTGCAATTCATCAGGAACCCAGTGATTAAGAGGTATCATATCAAAAAGTGGTTTTCTTATATGTCCTTTATAGTAATTATTTTGTTCAACTAACTTATCTATTTCTTTATTAATCTTCCATTCTTTTGATAGATCTCCTTGTTGTGATTTATCAATTGTACACCAAGGGCAGAAATTTTTACTATGAGCGCTATTAAAACCCAAACAGATTGCTAAGAACTTCCAGTCAGACGAAAAATAAAATTGAAAATTCCACTTTACATTATCAATTACCAGTCCTTCTTTTAAATTTCTTAGATCATGGCAGAATTGGGTCATTGCATTTGATAGAGAGTTGTAATCTTCACATCCAGGATAGAGTATGGTCGTATAATGATGATCTGGTTTGTGTGAAGTATTTTTATCATCTAAAATAGCCACTGTGATGATTACATGTTTTACTTTCCTTCCTACGTTTCTCCCATCTCCAGAGATTTGAAGATTAATTATGGGCTGATCTGGATTCAAGATGCCTTTTTGAACAAGGTTAGGAACCAAATAATACAATATATTATTAATATTTCTATAGCCATCTTTACCAACTGCATTAATTACTTCTTGTGTTATAGATTCATCATCTATATCTACTCCTTCGGATTCATCCACTTGACTTTTAGTATTTATATCTACTATTGTTATTGGTATGAGCTGGACCATTATTTCATTTATATTTATACGTTCTTTAGATATTTCTCCTTCACGTGGTAGGTTATATTCTATAGCACATAGACGTCTATAAGAATCTCTTGGAATATTGCCTTCATCTAATGCTCTAACTATTGATTCAAGTTTTTGTTTTTTTTTAGTTTTATCTTCATTCTTGTAACTGATATTAAAAGTATGTTTTTTATTAACAGAATAACATATACTTTCCAATGCTGGTATGTCTTCCAAATTATATAGCTTCTGTGTTTTTTCGTTGAATTCAGCTAATATATGTTTTCCAATACTCATAGCACGTTTTGTAAGGGTGGAATTTCCACATTGGTCAATTGGTTTTAATATATGTGCACGTCGCTTGCCTTCTCTTGCCATTTCTAATGTTTTGAGATGAAGACCAAACAAATAAATTCCTGATGTTTTTGTTTTTTTTAAAGATGTATATTCCTGAAATAAATATTTTAAAGTTAATTTATAAATAGAAAAAAATAGAAAAACTAAAAAAAAATAATTTAGTGTACAAACTTTATGAAATAAATTTGTAACATCCGTCGCACTTCTAACTGAAGATACTACATGTTCAAAACACTTTCCAAACCAGATTTGAAAAACTGGTTTATTATCAATGTAATTAATAAAACACTGAACAACACATCGATTATTACTTCTACCCCAAGTTGTTTCTACCATATAATCATCAGGGATTCGATATTTATTAGGAGGAAGAGTGTACGCTAATAAAGATTTATTAGGATACGTTCCTTCTTTTATAATTTTATATGAAAAACTATGTCCTGATTTTTTAAAATTAATAATTGAGTCAAAGGGGTAATTATGAATTTCTTGTGTGTCAGACATTTGCAAATTAGAAGCTAGGAATAATTTTTTAAACCGCGTAATTATTTTACAAAGTTTCGTGAATTTTTTTTTTTTGCATGAAATTTGTGTTACAGATTAGATCGACCAATAAAATGGTTTGATGTAGTGTTACCATATCCAATTTAACATGACCGTCATTTGGGGTTACGTCTTAAAAATTGGGGTTAGAGTTAAGATCCGCGCATATGTATGTATTCCGTGAAGTTCCCATCCAAAGATTTTTAAACTACTAAAACACTTGCAATAAATACTCTTTTTTGGTCACGATCTACTCATACGTTTAAGGAAATACTTTGGGTGAAATAATAGCGCCCACCCTCCCACCTTGCGAAATTGGGTCTTATTTTATAGTTAAAAAAAATTTGTAATGCAAAAATGTGAGAAAAAAAAAAAATTTTTTTTAACTAATGGATTTATGACGTGTCAGAAAAAAAAAGAAATTAAATCCGAAAAAAGGTAATTGATAAGCCCCAACGACTAATTTAAAAAATCTCGCAGCGCAATAAAATTGTTTATTATTTAGGAATATTGATGCTTAATTAATGAGCTGTTATTTTACGATCACAAAAAATAAAAAATTTTTTTATTTTTATTCTATTTTAAAATCATTCAAAATTGTGATCTAGGCCATATGCTATTGGCTAGTGGCTATCTGCTTTGTGTACAGCAAATTTGTAGCTAGCTTTTTAATTAGAATAATATAATTTTAAAACTTTGCATACAATAAAAATCGGGATACCCCGTAAACAAAAATATTACATAATTACACAAACACCTAGAAAATAATATAAATAAATTATATTATCCTCTATAACTAACCGATCTATCTAAATACTATACATTAACTAAAGAAAAACTAAATTAATTATGTAATTTTAACTCTCGTTCCCTCTTTAATCGATCTACCATTAGTGACATCACCTAATAACTATCTCTTGCAACCATGCTTGTCCATTTGTTAAAAGAGCACAACAAAATCGTAAAGTTTTTTCGAAGATTTTGTGATTATCTAAATCTTGATGTTCTATTAAATTATCAGTTGCAAGTTTATCATGTTGCGTCGTGAAAAAATGTCTGAATTTATTAAATAATGTAAAATCTAAATATCTGGCCTACCCGGATTTTGTAGCCCCATTTCTCGTAACTGACCAATTAATAAGTTCAATCCTTCGCCTTGATCCTGAATATGGTTATCCATTTTTCGTCTCTCGACTAAACGTAGCGAATCAACAATAATATGAGTACATCCTACTTTTGGACGCTTTTCATCATCATCCCAAAATTCTCTAATTGTTCCCCGAAGCTTAGTTATATTTTTCGTATTATCGTTTTTCAGAACAAGACTTGAAAATTCATCATCACTGCTATTATTGATTTCTACCTTCCATAACCTTAAGTCTTCTGCTTCAATGTCTAAGAAATCATTATGTTTCTTTTTAACTTCTTCGTAAATTTTTTCTTTGAGGTCATCAATATGATCACTGGTGTTGCCATTAATTACATTAATTGGAGATTCTTTAGCATCTGCGTCAAGAGACGGTAAAGTAAATTAATATCTACCATGATTCTGTAAAGATTACCCATAATCTACGTATTTATAATTCAATTTTCAATACGCCCTTTCTCACAACAAACCTGTTAATCGCTACGCCTAATAAATGACTCAAACATCATTTCATGAGAGATCATTGCGATATTTCCTATTGTCAAATGATCATTTCGGAACACCTAAAAACGTTACATAAATGGCCATCGGGAAAAAAATCATGACGTATTCACTGCGTATTCACTGCGCATATTGCTTAGATTATCCAAGTCCGTCTCATGAGCCTGATCAAGAGAAGTTTTGGTAGATTTCGTTCCGCATGACTCCCCGGTTCCGATGGATCATTATTGTCATCCATGGAAGTTGATTTTCCGAATCTATTTGTATGGCTGTAGCGTCAGTGGAAGCAGTTGTATTAACCATTTCTGTAGTAGTGATGTTCGTTTCATCCGCGGATGCTTTTGTAGACTTTTGTAACCCACCTCCTTTTCCCTCCTTAAAAAGATCCGGAGAGAGAAAAGTTTCTATAGCTTTGTTACACTCCTTATTCGGACATATCACTTCACCACTCACAAGATTTTTCTCGAGGCACTTCTGGTGAAAGATGTGACCACATGAAGCTAGGGTAAATTCTTTGATCGGATCAGACGAATTCGAAAGTAGTTCTTCTCCATACAACAAACACGGATCCACTTTCGGAACTTGGACATCTGTAGCAAGAGTTCCAGGTGCTGATTTGAGATTATTTATTGAGAGAGCTATGATTTGTGATTCGTACTGTCTCGTTTCACTTTTCACGTAGGGTAAAGAAACTTGAGCAAAAAAATGCCCAGCTTGTTTTATATTAAAGTAATCCCGGATCTTCACTAGCAATTACGCATTGCATTTCGTAATTTCGTAATTTCGTAAAATGACGAAGGATTAGCATACGCATCTCCAAATCCCATATGCGAAATAAGGTTTGCCAAAAAATACATCGCAACCTGTATATTTCATATGTCTCAACTTCGCGAAAATTACAACTTCCCATATATTACTACTTGTTGGGTGGCAGCACATCAATTTTAGAACAACTTAACAGAATATTTAATGATGAATTTAAGGTTGTAGACCAAATTTTGTAACCTGTTGATTGCGAATTAAATGAAAATATAACGTAACGAGTCAAATGGTAAAAAAAAGTCAGAACGATATGATGGTGGTAATAATTATTAATAATAATGATGACGGTAGTGCTGATGATGATGATGGCGATGGTGATGGTGACTATTTTCGAATATTGTTTTCTTAGTATGATACTAGCGTGAACTGGAGACATGACACGAAATAATCGCAAATCAACTCAGATGCGAAATATATATATGCAAATCTTACGTCGCACAGCCCCTATTCTTCGGCAAGAATTTTACCGAATATCTTCTGCGCATTTCAGGGTGATCGGAAAATTTTGTGTAACTCTGATCGGGAACGGGATACAAGAAAAATTTCGATCTGTGATTGTCATCCCGTACAATAGAGCAAACGCTATTATGTATACGAGACCGGCATATAAACATTTTTATTTTTTCGCGGAAATATTTACCCGTTGTGTCAATTGTCCCATCGAATTATTCTCACCCCACAAATGTTATTAAAAAGTTTATAAATTTTCTAGTTCACATCGCGCTTGATTTGCTTCAAAAACTTGCTAGTGAAAACTTTATTTTTTATAATAAATTGAAAGAACACGAAAACAATACATGATAAAAATAAAAAACTAAAAAAAAACTAGGTTAATTTCGGTTCATGATTCGCGGTTTTTTTTGGACAATTTAACATCCGTATCATTACCATTTTCAAACAGTTTACGCTTAAGCAATAATGTACTGGCTTTGTGGTAGTTATTATAATGATCATTGATACGGTGATACGCACCGAGAATTACAGAATCCTAAATATTAAAATATTGGCAAGATGAATTTCAAGTATGACCATAAACATAGTGAAACCAAAAAGAAATATAACCTGTGCAACTTCCAGTTCCTTTTTCACAGCATCTTTCTTAGTGGACAAGATTTCCAATTCTTTTTTCATAGCCTCTTGCTTTGCGGACAGGATTTCCAGTTCATTTTTCACAACAACTTGCTTGGTGAACATTTTGGATACTTTTGCTATTTTTCTTCTTTGAACCTTCATTAAAATTCGTGGCATCTGTTTCATCTGAATGGCAATTTAATTAATTAGTATAGAACAACCATATAAACACGTTAAGTTACTCATAAGGTCCATAAAACAGCCTGAAACGTTGCACTTTTATCAGAACGAACGAGGATACACCCTGCTTGAGGTAATAAACCCCTGCCAGGAGATAGTAAAACAAGGTCGCACCCTGCAAACAAGGATACACCTTGCCCTCAAGCACGCAACTTGTAAATGAGGACACACCCCACTTATTTTCTCCAAAATGATAAAATGCAACCAGACACGAAATCCCTTCGGAAATAACCTAAACAAAGAGGGAAACACCCTGCTAACAAGCACCAGCTCGCTAACAAGCACACAGCCTGTGTAGATAATCGGTCCGCTGACTGTTTCTTCTACACTACCTTTAGTTGGCCCTCCAGATGTGCAAGACGTAACTGAGCGGGATGTTCCTCCGCAAACAGCTTTTTTAAAACAGCTATCTCTCTTTTAAACGAACTATGTGCATGACCTTTGCTGACATTGTGTAAGTGATTTGTAAACTCGTTGAGGCTTGGCCATTTACTGTAGTGTTTGTTCCAAAGTTCTGCCAAAATGAGAAAAATTAATATGTACTTCATAAACAAGAAATAAATAATGTTTGCAAATATTTACCATAGTAACGGAGCTTCTGAGAAGCATTTTCTGGTAAGTGAATGTTAATTTTAGAACTCAGAAATCGTATAGGATTTTGAGAGTTTGTAGCTACAGCGGGTTGTAAATTAATTTCTTGAAAACTTTCTTCGGAAGTTGATAGGATTTTGAGAGTTTGTAGCTTCAACGGGTTGTAAATTAATTTCTTGAAAACTTTCTTCGGAAGTTGATATATGATTTTGAGGTTCATTAGCATATGTAGCTTCGGCGGTTTGTAAATCATTTTTTTCTTGAAAACTTCTTTTTTCTGACTTTTCTAGCTCATGAAGAGATTCCGTTACTTGAAATGAAATGTAAAACAAGCTAAGACAACGAGAAAAGCAATGTTTAAGAGAATAGAAATGCAATGCACTTACCCTGCACTTTGCAAATAAGTTCCTTGATCAAAAGTTCTATTGCTCCAGCTGGTCCGCCGAGAAGGTTATACGGAGGGGCTAAAAGCTTTTCTTCTGTCAAAGTAATAAAGACTTGACCAGCGACCTTATTTTTCTCAATTATATAATTATATTTATATCCTCGTCGTCAAGATCAAACTCATTTTGTTTGGACTTTATATATTCAAGAACATCTGCTTTTTAACGACCTCGGCTGACGCAACGGACATAGTTATTTGTAAAGGTGACATATTATGTGGTGACAAATGGAGCTCAGACCAAAAAAACTCCAAGTCAGTTTAAGAGAAAAAAAACGTTTAATTGTAAGGAAGGAAGATGATTTAATCGTCAACCCATGCAATTCATTCCATTTATAGAGCTACAGTATGTTACCCTATACGTTTACCCTTGCTTTTCTTTTTTAATTATATTACGTCAATAATCAAATCATCATTGGTTTCTTATTTTTTAACAATTTATTTTTAATTTTCTTTTTCTTTTTTTTCTTATTATGTGCAGCAAAGGGTGCGTTTCCTTCTTTTTCTTGTTTTATTTCTTTTTTTTTGCTTCTCGTTGCTAATTTCTTTTTTTTCTTTAGGTCTTCAAGCTCTTTGTTAATTTGCGTTATCACTGCTTGAAGCTTGCGCAATGCAATGACTGTCAACTGTCAAAAGGTTTAATGAGTTCTTCAAATAGCAACTTGTGGACTTCAATGATTGACGAAGGCATTTCTGTAATCAAAGGTACATTTCTTCTTATTTATTCTTTTTTTCCTCTTGCTTTTTGTTTCTAATTTTTTTTCTTTCTTTAAGTCATTAGATACTTTGGTTTTGTGGTCAAAGGTTCATTTTTTTATTATCGCACTAGTGTTAACCACAAATTTACGGGTGATAAAAGTGATACTTGACTATCAAAATGGAGACCGGCTGTGTAAAAAAAAATTTTCCTCTCTGTTGTCATACAAATAGAAACATACAAAATGTCTACAATTACAATTTCTGGAATGCTTATCAGACTTTGGTGTCTTATTCGTGGAAATAGTTCTGCTTTTAAAGTTGCTATAGGAAACAAAAATGATATCGATGACCTAAAAGAGGTTATTCCAACTCACTCTATGGAAAGTCAACATCGATCAAGGCCATTCCTATTGACGAAATGATGAAAACAAATTTAACTTCATTGAAGAAGCATCAAAGGAAACATTGTTAGAGTATTATGCACTACCACTATCACCACAATTTCCGTCTTGTCATCCTTCTCCATCACGATCGTGACCAAGACCACAATATTTCCCATATCCACTACCTTCATCATATTCTAAATTTACATGATTTTTTTCTACTTTTCCCTAATAATGTCTTATATAATAAATGAATATGTAATCATTTGCTTGAATAGCCCGTTCTCACCGGTGAGTTATAAAAAAATTTATATTTTTTTCGTCTTTTGTCATTATTTGTCAATAATACCAAATACTTACATAATCTCGTGCTTTTCTTTCCTGCTTCTTATAGTCAAACCCGCCCAAAGAACGCATTCGTGTTTTTATAGAGCAACCTGATGCCACCAGTAAGTGAGTCATAATAAATTAGTCAACGCGTCTTGTCTTGATCTTCAAATTCACAAATTTCTTAGGTTCTTTCATCTTATTAGGAATAGAATATTTGACAGCTGGTATTGCAGGAATCCAATTTCAAGGTAATTGATATAAGAATTTTATTACGAAATATTTGAATACTGTACTCTTTACTCACATTCCATCTAACTGCAAAAAAGATAAGGAAATATGGATAAAGTACTTACTCTCTGACAAATACTTAAAAGTATTACCGAGAGCATTAAGACGATGGAAGAGGAGGAAGATGAGGATAAGTCCACGATTCCGTGGTCAACTTAGGTGTTCCTAATATTTGTAAGGAAAATGATTTGTTTGCTAGGATTTCGATTAGAAGCCGCGTTAATTACACTAGAGGCGCCAGAGGTATGGATCATCCGCAAAATTATGACAACACAAATTCCTGTAAACCAAACAGAATTACACCTACTTAAGAATGTCGTTAACTGGGGATTTGTTAGTATAAAAATAAACTTAAGCTATCACTATTCGCAGTGGGAGTGATTTTTTTTAAAAAAAAATTAGGTCAAGCAATACTAAAAAAAGAAGAAAGCAAATTTAAAAAAGAAAAAAAATTAGCATTAGTAATCAAAAATAAGCAGTTGGAAAAAAATCATGACTACTTATTAGATGATAACTTGGAGGATAGTAGACTTGTCACTGAATTATACTATGGAAAATAATGTTATAGTCGAAGGAAATCATTATATGCGATGAGGTATTGAATTCGTATAAACTGTTTATTTACTGACCCAGAAGAATCCATCATGTGAGACTTAATAAAAGAATGACCATGGTAAAAGTATCACATGATCGCTTCATCTGAATATCCTTTGGAGTTGGGACTAATTTTCTATATGCACATGGAGCACAATTATTCGTCGATTTCAAAGAAAGGTATTTTATTATCAAATTTAAAAATTCAGAAACTCAAGTTGCACCAACCGATATTAATAACCGAACCAGCTTGGGAAGTTTGATCGTTCTCTTTTGATTCTTTTAATTACAGCCAACAAAACAGCTTTTGTCATTGGTAATATTATCCTTTATTATTATTCTTAATAGCCACTATAATATAATAGTCACTATAATAGCTTTAATGAAATGAGCATAATGTTTGTAGGATAGGCCGATGGGGTTATTTTATTGGAGTTAGATTCTAACAAAAAATTTCTAAGAAATGATCTACTTTATTATAGAGATAGTGGCTGGTTGCTTATATTTGGTAATAAGTCTCATTTATAATTTTTATAGATAAAGCTGTATTTTTTTTTATCATGATTTATATTGTATCCAAGTAAATAAAAAGTAATTATTTTCACATATGTGCACAATTAAAAAGATAAACCCAAACAAAATCAGGCAAAACTGAAAACTTTCTTTATTATTTTTTATTTTAGAAAAAGAAAAATTAGAAACATTTCGAGCCTTAATCCATAAAATGAGAGTTCCCTCCCACTGTTCCATAGTCTATACTAACTTCATCATTGGTAATACTACTGCTACTACTTGCAAAATTAACTACCCTTTTTCTTTCTCAATCCTCCATTCAATTTTATCCATCGAAGTCTTCATTGGCTTTTGATGATGATATAATTCGGACAATGTGCTAGTAATAACTTAGATAATATATTAAACATTTGTGAAGCGAACAAATTTTTTTTTTCTTTTTTAGTTGAAAATGATAGTGAATTCAACCCAATACATTTCAATCTTTTCACTGTGTTCAGAATATTGACCAATAGATACACGACTTGTAGAAGAAATCATTTGATCTAACTAGAAAGAAATAAGGTGCAGAATAATATGTATTAGATTAGGCGACCTATATCTTCCCATTTTTTTCACCCCACATGATCTATATTTGGCCGGTTAATAATCACGCATGATCTACAGTCACGCATACAATAAAATACTAATGTTACAATTTTTTTTATATTTTTTAAAAATAAAGTGACCCATAGACACTTGCAAAGTATACTCTTTTTTGGTTGTGATCTACTCATCTATACGACCGAATTTAATATCTTAGAAAAATATTATAGACTTGGGAATAAGAATAATAAATCCTAAATCTAAGAGTATAATGGCCACCCTCCTTTCTTATGAATCTATGGCCTATATATATATATTTTTTCTTCATTTTTTTCATTCATAAAATAAAAAAATTTTACATGTTACTCAACATACAGTATTATGCAATATTTATGCAAAATAAAAATTATTAAAAAAAATGTTTTACGTATTACTCAATATACTTTATTACACAATATCGCAATACAGTGACACCTCTATAAGTGCACCCTCTATAAGTGCACGCACTATATAAATTCTCTTTAAGTGCACGGTGGGCCTGGTCCCAACTTATAAGAGCTCTTAATATTTTACTCTCTATAAATGCACACCCTCTCTAAGTGCACATTCTACTATTTTTTTACTATGGTCCCAAGGAGGGTGCACTTAGAGAGGTGTCACTGTATAAAATTTAATTCTTTATAAAAATTCTTTATAAAAAAATTTCTTATGGAAATTGGAACAGCCAAATAAAAGTTGCGAAACAAAAAAAAATGTTTTTTTTTTTTACATATATTTTCATTACAAATTCCAAAAACCAATATTTGCATGAATTTATTTGATTCATTTATTAATGTAAATTATGAAATTTGATTGAGTAAATGAGTAAAAAAAAAAAAAGAGATAGGAAACAAATAAAGATCAGTTTTTTTTTTCTTTTGTAAAAACTTTTTTTTTTATAAAGATATAAATGAATAATTACAAAAAAGCATATATGAATGATCAAAAAAAAAAAAAATAAATCTCAAAATAGATTTTTTTCCAGTGATTAAACTCCTTTATTTTATTATCGAAATTATCAAAAAAAAATGAAAAAAATTTAGATTTTTTTTTATCAAATATCAAATAAAAGTTTTTTTTTTTAAAAAAAATGAATCTTGGAAAATCTTGATTTTGATATGATGCCAGCTATAGGCATAAACGGGTTTGACCGCTCAAACTGTTAAAAAATTTGGATGACGAATCTGTTCTTGTGGTAATCCAAATATTAATTATTTGGCTAATAAAACTAATTCTATCAATCAAACGATGAGATCTACAATGGCAATTTTAACAGGCCTACTCTATTATCAAGAAACTACACCTGGGAAACTTTAGGGATGGGGATGGTTCTATCAGTTTGGTTCCAGTTCTTTTGAGCAGAGGAACCGGTTCTGAGCAGAACCGTTCTGGAAAACCAGTTCTGAGCGGTTCGGTTTCACAGAATGGCTTGAGTCGGTTTGGGACTTTTTATGCACTAATACGTAATGTTTTTAGGCGGATAAATTCCAGATGAATGCTTATCTTACAATGCTTGTCTGGATCACTAGATGATAATTTCTGAAACTAAGTTACTAGTTTGAATCCGAAATTCCGAATAGATCCAAAATTTTCTCTAAATGGGTTGCTATCTTACTTGATTAATTACGGGATGGTTCTCGAACAGTTGATTTATAATCATTAATTTCGTAGTGTAACTGCATAGAAATTCTTAAAAATTTTACGTTCCCATTTAAAAGATGATGATTTATATCTGTGCACATTTCAATCAACTAATCCAATTTCGGTTAATGCAATTTTACCTTAATCGGAATTTTTTAATCTTTTTCTTAGTCTGGTATTGTTATTTTTTTTCCACTCTTTTTGGAACGAATTTTTTCGGTACTTATTTTTTTTCGGATATCCTTTTTTTCTTTATCCTTTTTCTTCCCCTCAAATTTTTTTTATTTTTTTTCATTACTAAATAAAAAAATAAAATATTATATTAAATATATTTACAATTATATTTTTTTTAAAAAAATTAATATAATATGTAGGAAAATTGACTGATGTTGATAATATGATTAAGATTATTTCAATTAAATTGAACGCTGGATAAATAGTTTGATTTTCAAATTAAAAAAATTGATATTTTTACAATATTTTATAATTAATTAATTGATTTGATAATAGGTTATTATAACCAAATCCATATCCGAAATTCTCTAAATAATCACCAGATTTTTGAATAAAGTTTTTAGTTCAAATGGCTTAGTTAAATTAATAATTTATCGAGTAAAATGAGTATCAAAAGAATAATAATAAATGAAATGAGATTCTAATACATTTAATTGTTCAAATATTTTTCCTAAGTTGGTTATTATTTATATTACGTTAATCTTAAACTTATAAGAAATAATATAATTACTAATTAATAAATATATTTGTAATATTTTCATAATATTAAAGTTTTTTAGAAAATACTTCTAAAAAAAATTAATCAATTTTTATTGATAATTATTTTTTCACAATTCCTTAATTAATCCAAATTTCATTCTACACTCAAACGTCAAATCATCAATAATTAATACATATTATTTTATTCTTTTTTGTTAACTAATTAGTTATTACCATATTTATTAAATTCCTAATTATAAACAAAAAACTACTATAACCATCTTTAATTTACTTAGTATTACATTATGATACTAAAATTTTCTATCTAAACAAACTCATTGGTCCCGATGCGCAATGGGTGACTGCCTATTATTACTAGTGTGATGTTAATGATCTTCACGGTTCTTAAAAAATTATACTAATATTCTGAACGGAACTGAGCTGCTCAAGTTGAACGACTCGGTTCCAAAGAACCGAACCAGTTTTCAGTTTCAGTTCCATTCTCGGTTCCGAACTGTGCTCGAGTCGCTAAGTCGTGGAACGTTCCCATCCCTAGGAAACATGTCTTGAAATTAGATGATATATCACTAATTTCTAGCAATATATCTGTTCAATCCACTAACCTACCATGGTTGAAGAGTCAACAAGTTCAAGGAACACACCTCATACGTTCAAGAAGAGGTTGTGTTATACTTTCGCAGTTATCATCCACCAAGAAGACTCGAAGCCAATCACTAGCATCCGCATTACAAGAAAATCTTCTTCCAACCATGACTCAAAATGAAACCTCTAGTGAAACTTAAATAATAATAATCATTCTCTTTTTCTTTTTTTTAAAAAAATATATATATATATATTTTTTTAACCATATAATTACTGGACGTAAAAAAATCAATAGTAAACAAAAAAGGTATTGGAGGTTGAAATAATTACATAAAACTTATTTAATAAGATGACTGTTGCTAACTTTCTCTCCGGGTGAAGATCACCTAGGGTGATTTCATCTAGGTGATTTCACTCACGATTAATTTATTAAATTTATTAAATTTGATTGATGTAAATTTTAATATTTCTCACTTCGTAATTTGCATATAAATCCTCTGCAAATTTTTTGAAATTTTTTGATTGGCTAAATTTTTAAATATATAATAAACAATGCTTAAAATATTTTCGCACTAAAAGTTTATAGCAATTTATTAATTTTTAATAGATTACATTAATCATTGATTGAAAAAAACAAACTCATACTATCCAAAATACTAGATTTTTTGATAGGAATAACAAAAAAAAAGTCACAACGATAAAGAAAAGAGAATATGTGAATAAAAAAAGGAAAAAAAAATGAGGGTGAATGGGAATGAAAGAAACAAAGGGGGGATTGAAGGAGGAACGAAATGGAGCAAAGGGGGAGTGAAAAAAGCGAAAGGGGCAAAAAAGATCAAGTGGGAATGAAAAAAAATGAAAAGAATGAAGG